GTTAGTTTACGTGTGTTGTTGTGTTATTTTGTAGTAGTGTGTTTGAATTGTGGGTGCGTTATTCCTCATTGTTGGAGTTTCAATTATTTGCGACCCATTTATTTTTTTTTAGTACATATATAAAAACGCTATTAATTGTAACATTACACATGTTAAAATGAAACAAAAAGAAAAAAAAATTAAAACAAAAGAACTCTAATATCCGTAAGGAAATATAAACCTGCAATAATTCTACCTGATTTCAACAGCCACCGCGTATGCAATCACCATCGACGCCGGTGACGTCATCACCTCTCCTCAGTTCTCCAGCTCCGATCTCCTCTCTTCCAGGGTATACTCCTTACCCGGCCTTCGTCCCAGCTGATTTTTGTCAATCTTGTTATTAATTATTCGTTCTGTGCAATTTTAACCATTTCATTGTGCCTATTGGGATCTGATCCTTTGAAAATCGATGCGTAAAGTCTTCGAAATCAATTACTGAGGTGCTTTTCCTTGTTACGTTTGTTGGTTCTCCGGTACTCGGCGTTCATAATTGATTGTGCTTTCCTCTTTGTGTATATGATACCAATGAATTGAGTAATTAGGTGGTGGGCTTAAGAGGTTTTTTCAAATTTTCCATTGTTTCGACTGTTTATTTGTGAGAATAATCAGTCTTATAGACACATATCTTGAACTGGAGATGAGTTCTTTTGTGTGTCATTTTTTACTTGAAGTGAGTATTTTCCCCATGATTTTTCTTGATCTTGTTTTTGCAGAGGTGCAAGGGGGACATTAGTTTCCATGATGAGAAAACCACCCTCGTTGGTCGACTTGTGTGTGCGGATGGCGATAGATAAAGTTAGGTACCTAGGAAATGTTGGGACAGTGGACAACCACCTGTTGGATCGCATTTTAAGCCACTGTACACTCGATCAGTTGAAGCACATTGAGGATTGTACAGAAGTAAGACTTTGATACCATCCCTTGTGTCCATTTTGAAACATATATCCTGATCTGTTTGTATTTATCTGGTGGTCTAAACTGTTTTGGTCTTGTTACAGGGTAGAGATCTAAGTCCTGTAACTGATATACTCTGGAAGACATTTTACAGTCGTGATTTTGGTGTTGATAGTGCCAATCTTGTTGATCAGAGGTTGAGAAAGAGTAAGAAGACCTACAAATGGAGACAATTGTATGAGGTACTTACTGTAATGCATGGTCAACTTAATGATAGGTTCACCCCCCATTTTGGTGTTATTTTAGCTCGATATATTACCGTACAACAGGCTAAGGTACAAGAGAGGGAAGAGGCAACAGAACAATTAGTTGATCGAATGAAGCAACGTTATGAAGAAGAAAATGCTAGTAAGTAGACTTTTAATTCTTTCAATTTGGTGGGCATCCCAACTCTTTGGTATGCATGCTGCATACATGGTTCACCTAGAAAAGTAAAGTGCTATTGAGTGTATACAAAAATAAGTGAAAGGAAGGATATCGATTGACTTGAAAAGCTCAGTTTTTTATGTTGATGACCTGTGCATTGTTCATTAGGATGTAGATGTACCTAGACCTTTTTTCCTTGTCGTATTTATTTATTTCTACGGTAGGGTATTTTATGGATTAACTTAGCGCTGCATGAGTCGAAGATGGCCTCATGTATCCAATAGTATGAGAATGGGATATTCTTTTACTAATTGATTTGCTATTAAGTTGATTATCCTCTTTCAGAAGGCTCAATGTGGACATCAATGTGCTTGTTACTGACCACCAATGTACTAAGAAGTACGTTAGCATGTTTGTTATCGTACTTTTAGCTTCCTATGAACTCCTCAGGTGGGAAATATTTTAACATTTAGGAACTTGATCTTTATATATTTGTGTACATCTTATTGTAGAGATATGATTATATTATTACGAGCATATAAATATACTTGCGTTGTATAGAATAATATAAGAATATTTATGTTCTATCACTAAGAGTTGAATTTTCATAGTAGCCATCATGTTCTAAATTCTTTTCGCACAATATTGCATAATATACATAGACACTTTTATTAGACTATTGGATTTATGGATACAAAATTTGGGATCATGAAATCGTTTATGATAAGAGAAATGTGAATCAAAAGTTATCCATGGGATTCTTCCACATCTTGGATGTCCACTTATAAACCTCACATATAATCTTGTGTATATAAACAATTATATTATGTGCTTTTCAGGCAACATATAAGTATAAATAGTTTTAAACAAACTCCAAATCCATGGAAATTGCGTAACATCATTTCATGGGATATTGCTCTACTAGCAATATCATTTTAGGCAAATACTTGCCTTATGATCCTCTATGATGAGTATACTGTAAAACTATAAACAAACACTCAGTGATATGATGAATCTCACCAAATCTTTTAAGGTGGTTTCTATTTTGATGCATGTTTCACACAGACACACACACACGTACATGTAAGTACTTTAATACATTCTATACTGGTATGACACTAGTAGTGCATGGGGACTTGGGGTATCTGGCGTGGCGAGTCACAGGAGCTAAATGATCAAAAGGTGGAGCCTTATGGCACACTCGAGCCCCCCAAAGTCAAATGTAGGTCTGTGTGACAACCTCTATATCTAAAAATAATCGCTCTATTGAAATTTATATATTTGTATAATTCATACCATATGATTACGATTAATTATATCCATGTCAAACTTTCCCCAAAGTAACTGAAAAAATCAAAACATTAAATCATTACTTAGTAAATAAACACGTGATATTAGAGAAGCATAAATAAAGTACACATAAATCTTTAGATTAGAAATTACTTCCCATATTGTAGGCGAGTGATGCACTTGTTAACTATATTATAGGCCAACCCATATATATACTTAACGCAATAAGTCTATATATATGGGTATCCTCACTTGTGAATCATTCATTCGTCTAAAACCTTATGGTTCTTACATGGTATCAAACTTACAAATAATTTTTTTTATTCAATCTCACCTCCTACACTAGTCAAATTGCCGCCTCAAGGCAGACTTCATGCAATTGCTATTAATATTACTCTTGATGGTCAAAGATATAATTTACGTGATTGTGCTACTTTTGAGCCTCGTGATAAGTGGACTTTCCACGTGCGGGTGCTATTATTAATGAGCCCTCAAACTATCAGGAAGAGTTTCCAGAGTGGCAACTGGTTATGTCAGAGGAACTTGTTGTACTTGCTCTTACTGACCTTTGATCTTGTTCCGTACCATCGCATGCCTTGCCTATCACCTGTAAGTGTAAGTGTGTCTTAAGACCAAGTCGAATGGTTCCATTGAATATTATAAGGCTCATCTTGTTATTAGACTCAAGGACGAGATTATGATGAGACTTTTTCTCCAGTTGCTCATATGACTAATGTTCGTACTTTGATTGCAGTGGCTGCTACTCCTTCTTGGACCATATCTGAGATGGATGTGTTGAATGCTTCCCTTCATGGTGATCTGCATGAAGAAGTTTATATGCAGCCACCACCGGGTGTTGATGCCCCCTCTGGACATGTTTGTCGTCTTCGTCGTGCATTATATAGTCTCAAACAGGCTCCTCGTGCTTGGTTTGAGCGTTTTGTCTCTGTTATACGGGCTGCTGGTTTTTCAATAGTGATCATGATCCTACTTTTGTCCATTGCAAATGGAGCTGGAAGAGTCAATGTTGACAATTCTTCTGGCATCGTGCAAATAATGGATTAGATCAAAATGACTCAATTAAATTCTAGTGCTTCTTCTATTAGTGAAGTTTCTAGAAAAAATATATCAAACGACGCAACGCACTTTGGGTCGCTATGGAAACAGCCTCCTTGTAATTTACAAGGGTAAGGTCTGCGTACAACTGACTCCCCAGACCCTAACCTGTTTGGGAATATACTGGGTATGTTGATGTTGATGATGATGTTGATGATGATCATGATCCTACTTTGTTGATTCATCTCTCTCTACGTGGGTGTACTCTACTTCTCCTATATGTTGATTACGAAGATGTCCGATTTGGTCAACAATTTCAGATGTTTGATTTGGGTCTTCTTAGCTACTTTTTGGGCATTGACTCGGGTAATTACCTTTCTCAGTCCAAGTACATACAAGACCTTCTTGTTGTTTTCGGTATTACTGATAATCGGACAAAGGTTATACCTATGGATCTTCACTACAACTTGTCTGCTTGTCCCACTGATGGTACGCCTCTTAAGGATCCCTCTCGCTATTGATATATTGTAGGCAGTCTTGTTTACCTTATTACAAGGCGTGAGCATATATTGACAGTTTGTGAGTGCTCTTACTTCGGTTCATTTTGGGCATTTGCTTCACGTGCTACGATACTTGAGGGGAACATCTTCTCAATGTTTATTATATGCTCGTGATAGTCCGCTTCATCTTCATGCTTACTCGGACTCTACTTGAGCAAGTAATCGAAGTGATCGTTGTTCTGGTTATTGCTTTTTTTTTTGGTTTTTCTCCTCTTACATGGAAGTCCAAGATCTCGTTGTAGCACAAAGGCAGAACTTCGAGCACTTGCTACTACCACCTCAGAAATTATATGGCTTCTATGGTTGTTAGCCGATTTTAGTATTCCGTGTGATGATCCTGGAGCAATCCAAATTGCGATGATCCAATAAAGTATGAAATTACAAAACATATTGGTGTTGATGCTTCGTTTACCCAATCTCATTGTCATAGAAAACCGTTCTTTAATATGTGCCGTCAGAACTGCAAGTGGCTGATTTTTTTCACCAAAGCACACCAAAGCATAAACTAGAGAGCATTATCTGCTTCACTTGCTCAAACTCAATGTTTCGGATCCTCCACCTCCACCTTGAGTTTGAAGGGGGTGTTTACTATATTATAGGTCCTGCCCATATTTACTTAAGGCCCTAAGTTTTTATATATGGGCATCCTCACTTGTGGATCATTCATTCGTCGAAAACCTCCAAAACCTTAAGGTTCATAACAACACTTTCATATGATATTAACTTATCCAATTCTCGGTGTTTGGTGGCACGAAATTTGAGAACTTTTTTGCTAATAATGTTCTTGTCCCATCTTCAATATCGACTAAACAAAATGTCACAACGTTTTGATAGTATCTACTAATTAGGATCTAGAACTTGAAAGCAATTAATTATTGAAACTTATTCCATGTTTTGCCATCTCATGCTTGTGTGTGCCTAAGCAACAATCTAGCAGACCCAAATAGCTAATGGATTCATGGCAATCATTAACAAAATGTATATTTAAGAAAGGTCAAAAGAGAAGTTAAGAAAAAATCTCTATGACCACGAGGGAGAAGGTTTCGATACATGTAGTTAATCTGGCCTCTATATATAGTATACTAATTTAAACGAAGCAGCCAGAAAACGTAATCCTTACCTATTTGTAAATGCAAATATTAAATGTTGAATTTTTCGAGTCTATGTGTCAACTTTTGGTGTTTCGTAATCCCATGTGTCCATTTCTGTTGTTTGATCTGGATTTTTGTTTATACCTATTAGGACTTTTAAAATTATAAAACACTTGAATCTGGCGTAGGTGCTCGAAACAATTGAAAAGAAGCTTAAGTAAAATGTGGTAACGTGGTCTAGTACTCGACGAGAAGGACCTTCTCAACCATTGTTCGGATTATATTGTTGCATTTATTGGGAATATGGGCAAGGAGCGTAAGCGAGGTCCTAAAAAGATGATAGTGGGGAAAAGAGGCAACGACCTTAGGATGAGGATGAAATCTGATGACATCACGAGGACTCACAAATAGACTAATAATGCTCGTAGGCTTCACACATGAGTTGCAGGAAAGGAGATAAAAGAGATCTATGTAGCATAAGTTGTCCCATGAGTTAATTTCAGACCCTTGGGTCTGAGAGGAGTGCACATCCCTAACAATGACACTTTGGCAATATCAATTGGAAATGCTGGGTATAAATTGTTTTAAGCAAATGGGCTTGGGGATAGAGGTCAGAAAGATGCTTTGTATTGTGTTTAACAATTCGAAGTCGTGCCAATGGATAAAGTTGTTCTTCCTAAAGTTCTTGAGGAGGGACCTACAAGATGGTTCAATTCATGATGGTTGAGGCCAAATTCTGCCTTGAGGGCAACCAGTTGGTGGCTAGATTGTTATAGATGACATGGATGGGAAATAAGGAGGAAAATGTGCAACAGGAGGAAAAGGAAGTTTGGAGACCTCAACCCGTATGGTGAGTTGATGGAAGTGTAATTGATAGAAGCGGTGGATGGGCATACTACCTATAGGAATTTAGGAGAACTTTTAAAGAAGAAAATCATCGATCTATTGCGAGAGTTTATAGATATTTTCGTGTTTATTACGAAGGAACTTATAAGAACTAACTTACATGCATAAACTTAACATCAATGAGGAACTGAAGCCGGTTAAACGAGAGTGGAAGCGGTGGCATCATGTTGGTGAGCTAGACGAGGTAATTGAGAAAGAGGTGGCTAAGTTACTAAAGGATGGAGACATTTGGGTAACTTCAATCCATAAATGGTTATCAATGTTATGGTGAGCTGGGGAAAATTGAGAATGAGTATTGACTTTTAGGGACCTGAATAAAGCTTACCCCTAGGATCATTACCAATTGCCATGGTTGTTGAGTATGATGGACGCGTTGCAAGGATACTTTTTGCACCAAAGTCGAGAAGTGTGAGCTTTGTAACGAGTAAAGAGATTTGTTGTTATGCGATGATGCCGTTCAAGTTAAATAATGCAGGAGCGCATATCAAATGTTGGCTGAAAAATGTTCGCAAATAGGGAGAAATATGGAGGTATATGTGGATGATATATTGGTTAAGAACAAAAAGGCGAAGAACTATATAAGCAACCTGCACATACACCATGTCGTATGCAATGAAGCTCAAGGCAGCTAAGTGTGTCTGTGGAGTGAAGTCGGTAAATTTTTGTGTTACCTGGTTAGCGAAAAGGGATTAGTTATTTTGGAGGTGCAACCTCTTGTGAGGTCAAGATATTGAAATATGCCTAGCTTTGACCTTAAGCGCTCACCTTGGTATGTACATAACAAAGTATTAATTTAACTCCAACTGTCAGTTCACTATTTCTTGAATATAAATGTCTCTTTTTTGTTTAGAACGGTTTACGGTAACCCATCGCCCAAAATGTATTGGTCAGAGTATTACTTTCCAATTTACCAAATTTTATCTTGACTTAGTTATGCTTTTGATGAATGTTAGTGCCTTAGTGGACTCAACATGAAAGCTCTTAGAAATAAATACTCCACTAGGATCCTTCCTCATTATAATTCAAGAATTACGATTCTTTTTGGACTCAACATGAAAGCTCTTAGAAATAAATACTCCACTAGGATCCTTCCTCATTATAATTCAAGAATTATGATTTCTTTTTCTTAGGTCCTCATTATGACAATTCTCCTGGCATAGTGCTAATAATGGACTAGATCAAAATGGCTCAATTAAATTCTAGTGCTTCTTCTATTAGTGAAGTTTATAGAAAAAAATATATCAAACGACGCAATGCACCTTGGGTCGCTACGGAAACAACTTCCTTGAATAATTACAAGGGTAAGGTCTGCGTACAACTGACCCCCAAGACCCCAACCAGTTGGGAATATACGGGGTATTGAGAATATACGGGGTATGTTGTTGTTGTTGTTGTTGTTGTTGTTGTAGGTGCTATCAGTACTTACCTATATTGACTGCTTTACTTTACAGGGAAACGAAGTCGTCAAATACAGCTATGTGCAAAGCTCCCACCTTCCAGCAAGAAAAGAAGCTTTTGTGGTGGTACATCAGCTTTTTCATGGCTTGTATCCAGTATCTTATTAACTTCAGCAGGTTTTGAACTGCTTGAATTTATTTTGAAAGGTGTAACATGTTTCTCAGTAAATTTTATCAGGTGTCATTGCCAGCAACATTTACAACACAAAAAGTGGCTTGATGAAGAAGGCAAAGCTAGACTTCGTCAACAGGTAGTTTGCTTGCAAACCATTGAGTTCATGAATGTTGGTTATTTGTAATTTTTGTACTAGCTTATGCAAATTTGTTATATACCTAATATGATATCATTGTCATTCCATATAAATCTTATTTCTAGCTATGAGCATATCCTGAAGCAAATGACTTGCTCAAACTGTACGTTATAAACCAAATTAATAGTGGTCATTCTTCTTTAAGATTTTCCATATGATTGGCTTGGAAGCAAATGGAAAAATAGAACTATGAATTACTTGTTTCACTTTGCACTTCATGCAAGCATTGTATCGTGCATCCCGTCTTTCTTTTTTTTAGCAGTCTGTAGCTTTGGATCAAACTATGTTTTTCTGTGTGTATGTGAATATATATATGTGGATTCGGTAGGATCTGATCTTGTCAAAGGAATTAAGAACCATGCTAAAATACAATACATTGAACATACTGCTGATCTTAGCAGTATACAATATTACTTTTAGCAGTGTGATCAATGCATGATAATAGCAGCAAATGTAACGTATTTTAGCATTCCACATATTTTAGCACTATATACACCAATATTTAGCAGGGGTTTTAGTTCCTACTTTATCCATTACCTATATGTGTGTCAGTGTCTGTATTTTGTTGGTTCTTCTCCTGAAATATATGCTTGCAATTTAGTCCTTGAACTTATTGTTGCATTTTTTTCTCAGCCGAGAAGTGAAAAATATAGCTGCTATGAAGAATAAGGTGGTTCACCAATATCAAAGGTAATGATTAGGATAACCAGACAAAGATTTCATTTTATCCCTATAACTACCATTTCTTATCGATCCATTTTGAATACTCAGTGTTTCTCCCGTTGGGAAGCCACATGTGACTTCTGGATTAGGAGTGAAAAATACAGCGGGTATGAAAAATAAGGCGGTGTGCAAGAATCAAAGGTAATGGTTGAACTAACCAGACAAAGATGTCAATTTGTTTCTCTAATTACCATCTCTAATCGATCCATCTTTTGCATATACAGTGTTTCTCCCATTGGGAAGCCGCATGCGACTTTTGGATTAGCTTCTTCTTCTTCTTCTTCTTCACCACCGTTGTCCATGACCAAAATGGGCAAGCCAGTCCAGAGGAGATTTTGACAAGTCATTCTCTAAAAACAACATACTCAGTATATTCCCAACTGGTTGGGGTCTGGTGACAAGTCATTCTCTACCGAGCAAATTACAATAAGCCTCCCTGAAATATAGAGTATTTACACTTTTCGCACTTTGTCCCCGAGCCATGTTACATTCTATCATTGGATCAAACGGAAAATAAAACTCATGGGTAAATTAAAAAATTAAAAAAAAAATAAAAAAATTGACTGAGCAAAGTACAGAAGGCGTATAGTTCAGGGATATTAATGTAATTTGTTTCTTATCCCCATTAATGTTGTACCATGTGTTTGCAAGTGTGTAAAACATCTCGTATTTGATAATTTAATTTAATGGTTTTAGATTAATTTTTATTTTCTTTTTTTAATCCACCAATTGATGATGCAGTTCTGTTTAATTTTAGTGATTTGTATAATGATTGGTGATTGTATATTGAATTAAAAGAAGGCAATCCATATTTTGTTCATCACATCCTTGCATGGATCTCAGAATTAGTTCTGGGATATTTGAAAGAACTATTTCTCGAAACGAAATTAATTAATTTACAAATGAAATTTGATCTCAGTAGTGATTATCATATTATTATTACAATAATATTATTACAAATTGTCACCTGTCTTGGTTTATGTGAGATCTTATTTTAATGACAGAAGAAGATTCTAAACAACGAGACCAGGGAGTAATTAATTGAAATGGATCGAAATATTGTACAATTAAATGTTAATGCATAATTATTTATAATATAAAACACATATTCACTGGTCTATAGGTAATAAATAATATGTACCTTTTTTCCAAAAAAAAAAATTATAATTACTAGTTTTGTTTATGCAACTAGTGGTGATGAGATTAGACAAATTAATCCATCCAATTTGCTACATCACATTTTGGATACAAATTGTCTCATATTTACCAAAGTAGATAAAAGTCTATGATAAATACATTAAATCATCGATTTAATTAATTAAAGTAATATTTTTATAAATTAAATAATATTATTTTATATTCAATAAAATTATTTATAATAATTAGTATTTTTTAGATTCAATAAAATTAATTATATTAAAATTTTAAAGATTAAATAATATTATTATAAATTAAATAAAATTATTTTGGATTCAAAATTAATACTTTAAATTGAATAAAAATATATAGATAATAAAATATTGTTTTATATTTAAAACGTTATTTTAAATTATGCATAATTATTTAAATTAATACATATAAATTAAATAATGTTAATTTAAATTAAATTAAATTATTTTATATTAAACAATATTTTTTCAACTAAATAAAATTATTTAAATTTAATATTTTATAGATTAAACAATATTACACTAAATTAAAATAAAGTTATTTTAGATTAAATAATACTATTTTAAATTTAATAAAATTATTTAAATTTATATTTTATAAATTAAAAAATATTATTTTCAACTAAAGTAAATCATTTTATATTAAATAATATTTTAAATTAAATAAAATTGTTTAAATTAATATTTTAGAGATTGGATAATATTATTTTACATTAAATAAAATTATTTTAAATTAAATAATATTATTTTAAATTAAAAAAATATTTAGATTAAATAATATTATTTTAAATTAAGTAAAATTATTTTAAATTAAAAAAAAGTTATTTGAATTATTATTTTATAAATTAAATAATATTATTTTTAATTATTTTTAATTTTAAATTTAACAATATTTTTAAGTTAAAAAAATTGTTTAAATTAATATTTATAGATTAACTAATATTGTTTTACATTAAATAAAAATACTTCAGATTAATAATTTTATTTTAGACAAATGATAATATTATCACACCATAATAGCCGGATTTTTTTAACCCGCCAACAAGGATACACGCGTGCGCCAACTCATGCCACATTATTTGTATCTTTATGCTAATCCTATTTAGTAACCAACTTTATTCCATCCTATCAAGACTAATAAACGAGGCTCTAATATTTAGGGCTATACGAATTAATTAAACTACAAGTTTCAAATATTGAATAATTACTTTGAACGGTTCTGCTATGAAATCAACAGTTGGCTCCGTAGTGGAGCCAACTTTCTATATACAACAAATAAACTACCATATTAATAAAATTTTATTAGTGTTATTTAAGTAATAAGAGAATATGATAAATTTACTTGTTGTATATAAAAGATTGACTCTACTATGGAGCCAACTATTGACTTCACAGCAAAATGCAGTTTTGGATAATGAGAGTCTCGCTAAATAGGGACATAATACGTGAAAAATAACTTTATCAAACGAGTATTGAATTTATTTATTTATTTATTTATTTATTATTATTATTATTTT